CTCAGGAAGAAGTTCTGGGGCAGCACAGACAGGTCTTCTCTGTGTTAGAGTTTTACTCGCTACAGGGTGTACTTTGAGGGTTTCTGACTCTGCAGACCATTTACATGCAGAAAAAGCTACATAACACACAAGGGGACGGGTAATAACCGGGAAAGCATGACATGGGACCTTTAAGTGGAGGAAGCTCCTTAGAGACAATGATCTGGCCATCAACTGTAGTTCAAATTATATTTGCTCTGAAACTCCAGATGACATAAAAACCTGGCAACTGCAAACAGGGTTGTCATACTCGGTGGAAAGGCAGTCTTAACTATAAACTCAGATCTATAAGACCCCAGTTCAACATGAACGAAAACACCCCAACTTTAAACAATGTCTGTTTAACTATTTTTTCCTTGGTACACCGCCATTCCTCTCCGGTGCGTAACGTAGCCACTTCTGCACTCCAACCCTGAATGTCAATTCCGTCAGCCTGCGGTCAAATTGACGAGCAGCAGCTGAAAAAAAAGAAGTTACATTTTTTGTTTATTGAAATAATAAGAAGAAGAAAGCTGCAATGGATGCGTTCCAGTGTGTACTGTTTAGTGTACTAGGTTTTCAGGCGGCCTTAATTGAGCAATTCACCCATCAACCACATCTTCATATAATTGATTCACACTATTACTCATTTCTGTCTACTCGCTCTGTGTCTCAGAGGACGGTAGTGGACAGTTCAGAAACGTGCCCATCAGTGACATCATCAATGGTCATTTCCAATTAGCTAGGAATAATGTCACTGGTAGGCAGGTTTCTGAAATGTCCACAGCCCACCTTTGAGATGCAGAGCGAGTAGACAGAAATGCTGCCATCCTATTATGAGCATTAATGAGGACCACTTATATGAAGATAAGGATAAGAATGGATGCATTTTGCATCCATTCTTATCAACTTGAGAAAGAAATGTAAAAGACTTATGAATTAAATTCAATATTTGCCAAATCTGTTGTAAAGTAGTAAACCTAGTATTTTGAGGTGCAGGCTCACCAAACATGCAGTCCTTTATCAGCGTGTCCTTGAAGGCCCTCTTCTCTCCCTTTCCCACCCAGTTGAAGATGCAGGCTAGACTGTTTGTCATGGCAGCGGATAGCATTCGCCGGATCATATTTTCCGAGTTGGTCCCTCCGACTAATGCCAGGCGGGTAATCTTAACAGACGAGAGAAAATGATTAGTGTGCTACAGTGTACTATGTAAATAGACATCTTCTCATTTATAAATAAATACAAATGTAATGAATTTGAACACATTTGTATTACCTCTAAGGAAGAAATAAGACCACTACTGTGTCCAAACTAATCGACAAACAATGCCAACAACCAAATTGGCAATCCTAAGAAATGGTCAAATATTGATTAAGAAAAATATTATCGTGATTCGCGAGGCGTATTTTTACAATATTTCTGTCAAACACACATCCAAGTGAAAAAGAAATGTAATGCATCCACTCCTACAATTCCAGACATAAGCCCTTAAGATTTCAAACAAGAAATGTAAGACTTTTAAAACTTATAAGGATCCACAGGATACCTGCAAATGCATACAGAAAATATTAGAAGCCTCGACAGATTATAGAGAAAATGCTTTGTGTAAAAATTGTTCACCATCTTTCGACGGACTGCTTCCTCCCTCAAAGCAGCTTCAGTCTCATCAAACTTCTCCTCGTTGGTGAGTGGAAGCATTATGGGGAAGTTGTCTTCTTGTGACTCTGGTCCAGCTCCATGAATGTTTAGTTTAGCAAGTTCCGTCTTTATAAAGTTAATGTCACGTGAGATCTGCTTCACCTCCATACATAGCTCGGTAAGCATCTTCGTGGTTCTCATGGCAGCAATGTCTTGAAAATTAAAAAAATAAAGGTTTTAATTTACATTTCAAGGATAGATTTTTAATTTCCAATAATTTAGAATGACACTAAGTAACTCACTGATAAGTGTTTGCCAACAGTAACCATTAAAGCTGCACTATGTAACTTTCCTATTTACCCTGGATTTGAACACAGGTCTCCAGCACAACTGCTGAAATATTTACCACTGAGTTTATAGAGCCTGCCTGCTTGCTCGGGGGAGAAATTGACCATAAAGTCATAATTTTTGTCAAACCAAGGTCATGTCTCACCTAGATAAAGGATCTAAATGTCTCAATAGAAGAGCAGGGAGACCAAAATCAACCACCCCAATTTTAAGTTATATTGTATTAACACTACCATACAGATTGGACAAAATAACATTGTAATCACAAAAAGGTTACATAGTGCAGGTTTAAGTGCTTACATTTTAAGCCTTAACACCATGACAAAAAACATGAAAAGATGGGAAAGTCACAAGGGATAGGTTTCTCAATTCAGAAGGCATCAGTACGGTTAAGAACCTGCTCAGAAAATGATACTTGCCTTTCAACACTCTGCTTGATTCCTCTCCATATAATCTCCCCCGTGGTGTTTCTGGAGCTGAAGGGGGTGGGATGGGTGCTGCGGGGTCAGGTGAGCCAAGCCCAGTGCGCTGAAGTCAGCTAATCTTGAGCCATGTGCATAGCTGGCACCGCCGTCTAAAAGACAAGACACCATTATTAATTGTTTATAAGTAAGCCATGAGAACCATTGGCCCATAGGAGCCGATATCCTGTTTCCGCAGCATGATGTACAAGTACACCCCCTGGACATGATGCTAGTATGTCGCAGGGACTTAACCCAATCCAACCCTTGATACTGAGTGCCAAGCAGGGAGATATCGGGTACCATTTTTAACAGTCATTGGTATGACTCGGTCGGCGATCAAACTCACAACCTCCCAATCTCAGGGCGGACACTAACCACGAGGCCACTGAGCTGCTATTCATTCTTTATATTGAACATGAATTTGGGAATTTTCCAAAAAAAAACAACATTTAAGATGAGAAATACATACCATTCCTTGCTTTCTCTAATGGCATAGCGTGGTAGGGGCTGGAGTTATATGTTGGCAATCCTAGAAAAAGAGAGAAATAACTAAATAAGGCAAATGAGCACTATTAAAGTTGTTATCCATGAGCACCATATAGCAATTGCACCTAGCTAGCCCCATATAGTTACTTTCCAACTTTAGATAAAGGAGACCTGAGGGATGAACACACTTGGCTACAGAGTGAGTAATTAAAGAATAGTTTCCCACCTAAGGTGCTGATAATTCCTGTGATCCAAAGATAAAAGACATAATAGCCTATTAGTCTACTTCATAACGAGGGGTGCACTCAAGTGGCTGCCGATGACAATTTATTCAGGATACAGAAAATATGACCAACGTTTCGGAGAGACTGAAACATTGGGTCATATTTCCGGTGTCCTGAATAAATTGTCATCGGCAGCCACATGAATGTGCCTGACTTTTACACCATTAGTTTTCTTACCATCATTACAGTGGTCCATTGACTGGTCCAACTCCGCCAAATAGCTTCCACAAAAGCCTACAATGAGAGAACACACAACATGAACTATGAATGCTGTAACTCGGACAAAGCACATTTACATACTGTCCGCCCGGAGGTAGTAGTGTGAAGTAGGGGTCGACCGATTATCCAGACCGATATTCCGCATTTTACAGATTATCGCTATCGGCCTTTTTTTTTTTTTTTTTTTAAATCAAATTGCCGATAAAACTTTGGATCTGATGCGGCCGTTTCTCTGGTTGCAGTCACCACTCTGTACACAAGCAATGTCCCGATCCAATTCTATCAGTTTCCCAGTTACACAGGGTAGCGTCTCGCAGCGGATAAACTGTGAGGGGGGGGATTGCTAGTGGAGCCTCGCAGCAACTCTGCTTTCTGCACCACAATCTGGTGCTGCTGAATTGGGACTACTAAATGAGTGAGACTCAAATATCAGAAGTTCAGAACAAGTTTTAGTAGTTTTCATTTTATTTCTATTTCATTGACTTTACTCAGGGTACAGAGAGGAAACCAGTTTTAAGATGTTGAAAAGTTCAGCAAACATAAAAAGGCATTTCAAAGAAGTTGTGTTGGAGTTTGTGTTATTCTACATTTTGAGACCAAGATTTTCTGATATTACTGCAAATGTATATCGGTTCCAAATATCGGTTATCGGTCTCGTTGATTACTAATAATCGGTATCGGCCTTGAAAAAGCCATATCGGTCGATCCCTAGTGTGAAGTGGTTCACTTACCATTGTCAGCCTGGTGAATTGACAGAACATCCTCCGAGTGGCTTCCTCCAGAGGCTAAAAGGGAACAAAAGACAGGAATAATGGATGCTGTAACTTTTGAACACATATCACATGACTGATGTTTGAATGTATTGTTGGAGGAACTAAATGCTTGTAAATTAAAGCTCACATGCAATTACATATTGTTCCTGCCATTTTAATAAGTAATGACATACCACTGCTTGCATTTGGGGTTGGTCCTGAGGGGTACTGGCTGGATTCTGGGAGCACTGTAGGACAATGAACATCAGGTGGCTTGGCAAATCTTCTCTTCACACAGCTGGTTTCTGACTCCCCATCTGACTCCATGTACACAGGATTTGGTCTGGAAAATAAAAATGAAACATTCAACATTCCCATTAATTGAACTAATTTGCCCCATGGCCCATTTCTGTAGAATGAGGCCGCTTGACGTACAGGTACACAGAGATGACACTAGTCTATCACAGGACTGGAGGTGGGGTTTTTACTTATTGTTTACACAGAAACCAAGGATTATATATTTCAAGAGGGAGCGATCAAAGTAAACATCCTAAGCCTGCTTCCTCCACACTGGGAGTGCTGTGACCACTTTTCCATTGCATCTTATGAGCGGTTGGGTTCTTTTGGTTCCTGCCTATGCACGCATACTGGTTCTTATCAATGCGACGTTGTTTGATAAGGGTTAAAGTCAGGCCAGACATGGAACCTGACCTCCTACAGGAATTCAACTGTACCTTACTCTTCTTTTCCCACGTGCACCTGCTTCGTCCTCAGAGCTCAGATCAGTGGTTGGACATCCAGTATTCACATACTTTTCTTCGTATCGTTTGGCCTTTTCCAATGAGTCTGTAAAAGAAAAAGCATAAAATAATAGGATGACATTTTACTGACTAGTCTCACTTGTGACACATATGTCATATGTGGTATGGCACCACACACATTCAAACTGCCATCCATAAAACGTGTGGATACCTATATACTTGAAAATAGACAATAGTAATGCAGTGACTACTTACCACAAGTAATCAAGAGCCGGACATTCGCATATGTGGTCCATCCTTTATGGGCCGTCATGTGTTCTTTAAGGGCCTTCAAATACATGTTTTTTGGGGGCCATAACAATTTACCTTCCTTTAGACTGAACCAGCTGGCAAGAACTGTTGCAGCTCCGCCATTTGGAAAAAGTACAACGGCCCAAAGCACCACCTCCCTTTCCATTCTGTATACAATAAAGGAAATAATGTAAATGATTAAAAAAAAACCTGCTCATAAATCATAAGATGTCATTTACTCGCCCAGCAGTATGAGCGGTATGCTACTGCATATGAGCTATTGGAATAGCTATGAGGCCATTTCCTTCTGACTCTGGATACAGAACACATTTACGTTTGATACATCCAAGTTTACCAACCCCGATATTGTCACACAACTCTCTAACCTTGTATGTACCTATGCATGAGGACTCGCAGGGATAAGTGTAATATGATTCTTGGTGTCTGAACCTTTTGTAGATCACATATACCTCATCTTCTTCCTGGACTATATTCTGCACTACTGCAATACTATGTCCCACCTCAATACAATTATCCCCCTGCTTTGTAGACAAAGTAAAACGACTACTGGAGACCTTTGTGTACTGTACAGCAACACCGAAATGTTGAGGGAGTGGACCATCAGTGTGGATTTTCTGTAAGACTGGTTCATCTGTTGGTAATGGAACCTCACAACGTGGCTGTTCTGACAACCTTTTGACCACCTGTTGTAGAGGTTGGTGTGGCTTGCGTAAAAGATGCTTTATTTGGCCAAGATAATTCTCAAAAGGGAATCCTGAAACATTATCTAAAGGTCCAAATTGTTTGTATTCATCGGCTAAATGTATAAGCTGGTGTACACTGAACACAATCTGATCCCTGCCATACAACTGTCCAAAGTGTTCCACAAAGGAAATCATCAATCTATGCGCTAATTCAACCTTTTGGCCAGAAATTCCAGGAGACAAAAACAAATACATGGCCACTGAAAACAACATAAAGTTGTCATAAATCTCACTGGGAAGGCAATCCTTCAGAACTACAGGGCCCCAGTACAGTATGAAGGATCGGAGCTCTGTAGCTTTCCAACGATCCAGCTCATTCAAACCCCTTGGCTTGCGATTGAATTCACAAGGGGTGTGGGAATGTAACCCCAGCAGTTTGCTTGATATACTGTTAACAGTTTGTGAAGGAAGCCTAGTGGCTAGATTGCCCTTTAACCACATATTCAACAGTTTTCTCATCACACCAAGACAACAGAGGTGCATATAATCTATTGGGAATGAAGAAACCATCTTTACTGTCCCTGTTAAAGGACTGAGTGTCTGTTTCAAGTGATGTTCTTCATCAATCATATCACAATAACTTGAGTCTGTCCTGAGCCTGACATTTGTTTCAGGATAAGTCATTTTCTTCCTCCACACACCATGTTGATCACACTTGTCACACCCTGAATAGCCATTATGTGACTTGATATTCTTAACGTAGGCTCTGGCTGGAGCATCACACACAAATGAGGAAACCAGTACTTTCAATCGGTTACCATTATGAACAACGCCATTAGCCAGTACATTTTTAAGGTCGCTAATAAATTGCTGCAGATACTCAACAACACACTTGGGCTTGCTTAAAGCACAAAAGATACCGACAATAAATGGGGACTTAGTATAATCACATTTCAGAATTGCAAGTATAGGCCAGAATTGAAGTCTTGAACTCTTAAAGAGAGGGAGACCATCTATGTTGAACTGTAAAGTAAGAGTTCTGAGGCTCACTGGTAAACTCAAACATTTCAATCGTGAAAGTATCCCTTGCACCAATCCAAAATGGTAGTACTCGCCACCTTGCATTTGAGTGGTTGCAACATCATGTTGTGTTCTAAGCAGAGTTCTTCCATCCTTAGGGAGCATAGGGTGAAAAAGCTTTAAGATGGACAGCAGAGCAGACAAAGCAACCAGATTGATTGAGTAGGATGTTGCCCAATATCTTAGGCTCCTCATAAGCAGATCCTGACTAAGCTGATGCTCGTCATGGCTGTCGGAGTCAGAATCTGATTCAACATTCCCAGCCACACTACCATCAGTATGATCATTTCCCATTTGTACATGATCTGATTCAACGTCATCATCTCCAGCTAAACTACCATCAGTATGATCATTTTCCATGTGTACATGGGAAGCTAGTGGTGTATCTAGTTGGGAAACGTGTGAGATTCTGAAGGGTGGTTCCCTATTCACACAGGGGTCTAAATGTGACTTGTTATTATAAAGAGTTTCCTCGTATTCCTTAAGGATATCTTTCTCCATGTCCCTTACAGTTCTGATGACTCTACGTCTTTTAGACCAATAAGAAGCCATCTTAGGTAAAGAGAGGTGGCACTGCTATAATTACTTTACTTGGCCTTGTGTATTGCAGTGATCCCCTTGACTCGTCTTGTAGTATAATCCTGAAAATGGAGGAAAACAAAGCAGATTAAAAATCAGTATGCATAAACTAACAGTACAAATATATATCAGCCTCCTGGTGCAATGCAAATATAACTGTACTGACGAAATTCCCTAGAATTACACGTTTTATTCCATGGGTCTTCAACCAGGAGTCCAGGACCCCTAGGACATACATTTTACCCAAATATCCTATATGATGCTTTAGCTTGACTGTATCAGACCAACTTTGATGTAATTTCTGTAGGATGTAGGGATGCCAGAAACTGACCATGATCAAAATCGGCGGGGTCGGTGTGTAGCAAGCTGCAGCAGCAGTCTGCGCTGCTGGCTTCCTCCAAGTTTTACAGTCAAAACTGGTGTTGTGACCAATGGCCATTTACAATTATTAATACTATTACTATTATTAGTCTATATTTTGGTTGAAACTAAGCCAGAAAAAAAACAAAAAAACATAAATAATAAAAAAATATATAAATAAAATCGAATTTTAAAAATAATCTTCGATTATGGAGACTGTAACGAATAATAGATTAATCGCTGGCATCCCTAGTAGGATGGTAGAGTTTAATGTCAGATTGTGTTAGCTAGTGTATCTGCTGCGTTAGCTAGGTGCTAGCCAGGGCAAGAAAATATCAACTGCGTCATGCGATGAACTGTTTAATTAATTTATGATATAGGCTATATTATAACAAAAAATATGCACAATTTCACCCAAATATCCTAAATAATGCTTTAGCTTGACTGCATCAGTGGACACTTTATGTAATTTCTGTAGGATGGTAGAGTTTAATGTCAGATTATGTTAGCTAGCGCTGCGTTAGCTAGGTGCTAGTCAGGGCAATAAAATATCAACTGCGTCATGGGATGAACGACGTTAAATTCGTTGATGATATATATTATTATAAGTAATTAGTTCCCACTTTTGCGCTCTGAATAGCCTAAAAAAACATAACAGGGTGTAACTGAGGTGAACATATAGAGTAGGCATGCACAACGGTCACGTTACATTTCTTACCGATTTGTGATATCTGTCTCTTCTCTTCAGGCGGCTTGACGGCAACTGAACTGCCTGCCTTCCTCCACACCCTCTTTCGCTCTTTCACGTGACCAACGTGCTTTCAAGATTAAGTGCAACGTGCAACGTGCAACAGGCATGACGGGTAATCTGTGACGTTTCGCTCTCTCAAAACTTGGGCCATTTTGTCTTCATGCACAGCAGCTCTCATAGGAAAGAACCAGACCCCGCCTCCGACGCTGGATCATGATCTCGCCCGAGAGGGGATAGCGCCACACGTTGAAACAATGTCAATTCAATGTAGGGAATTTCAACGTTGAAAAACCGGCATCTATATTACATTGATTCAACAACATTTTTTCAAACGTTGAAATGGTATTTGTAAAAACACATCGAATCAACATTGATTTTTCAACCTCAACCAAAAATAACCAATCTAACCAAAATCCAATGTTGAATTAATATCTTTTGCTATCTGGGTATGTTATGTGGACAATGCCACCCAGACAATAAAGCACATTTAGTAAAGAATGTAATGCTTTTCAATTGTATGTATCTGGAGAAAACCGAAGTGCAGACGCATAAATGTTGAGCAGAATCAGCTGCACTGTAATTCCTTTAATTCACTGCAGAGGCTTTCTTTAATTGTGTGCGAACCCTTTCTTGAATACATGGGAGGTGTTTGCTAAAAGGTCTCGGAGTCAGCTTGCATACCTGAAAACTGTAGCCTTGCTCAGTGAATTTAGACAATATGGATCGGTATGATTTATCACAAAGCAACCTGAAGAGTAAAATGAGCATACCTGTGTGTGTGTGTGCGAGTGTGTGTGAGACACTTATGGCAAACACTATCCTGACAAGGAAGCTGAGGCTGCACATAAGAAGATTAAAGCAAGTTAGGTTTTCATTTAATCATCAGAAGTTTGTGAACCTTGAAAGGCATTTAAAGGCAATGTGATGTATACATACAAAAAGGCCAGATTCACACACACACACACACACACACACACACACACACACACACACACACACACACACACACACACACACACACACACACACACACACACACACACACACACACACACACACACACACACACACACACACACACACACACACACACACACACACAATTGACATGAAATCACTGACAAATATGAATATACTGTATTCAACTTCATTAAAACGTTATTAAGGTGCCTAAACTCAGTAATTCACTAAAAAATATTTATATTTTAATGGAGCCTCGTCGGCAGGTCAGGATCCCGACGCGTAGCGGAGGGATCTTGATCGGCATGAAGGGTATTATTTTCCCCATAAGGAACAAGTCGCTGCAAATTATCCCGCTTATTACATGGCCACATTCTCAACAAAGTAACGACATGACTCCCAATATTAATTGAAATGCTTTTATGGATTTAGAAAATGTTTTTATTGATTTAAAAAATAGTTGTATTGATTTAAATTGACATGCATCCGCTAAGAAAAATAGTCGGCTAAACGCATAGGATTAACGCAAACGCAATCGCAAAAAAGCTTCGGTCCACACGCAATATTCACCGGATAGTAGGCTTGTTTGAGACGCGTTGCGGCTCGCCTCGAAAGTAGACGAGAATAGCCGATCGCAGCCGGGGGAGGTCTCAAAAAGCTCGCCTGAAGTCGGACAGCTCGGAGTCGGCTTCGTCTTCTTCTTCTTCTCTCGGTTTTTTGGCGGATTGCAAACAACTTTAAGGTGCATACCGCCACCTCCGGAGTCGGCTTGACTCGGTTTGCATTTATAAAGAATGCACACATGTGTTTAATCGTTAATGTCAGATATGTACTAAGTAAATACATTTGTTCCTGCTCAAGATTAGATTCAACTTTATTGTTATTGCACATATTACAGGTACTGAGACAACGAAATACAGTTTAGCTTCTAACCAGGTGCAACAAGCAGTAAAGTGAAAAGTAATGTACAAAATCTACAGAATAAAATATAGAATGAATTAAATGATGAATAAACAGTGAGGGGTATGAATACACTAGATATACACAGCAGCCTGAGAGCAGTATGAACAGTGTGAATGAATATGCTAAGATATATAAAGTATGAAAACGGTAAGCAGTGCAAGTATAGTATAAAATATATGGATATTAATTTCATGATGATAAACATTGTGGAACAATGATGAAAAATGTGAATGGAAGTGGCGACGTAAAACTGACACAAAACAACAACAAACTTTTGCCGAGCCAATTGGAGAGTTTCATCACCAGCACGTGGTAAAAACCACCAATGAGCGCTCAGCTCGAGATACCAGCGAGTCGTTTCCCATCAAGCATTTCGCTTCCGCAGCCCGTGGAGAGGAACTGCGCCGCCTCGCCGCCTCGCCGCACCTCGCTCTCAAGGCTGCGGGCGTCTTTGTCCCGCGAGATTTCAACGTCTCATGTAGGCCAGCCTCCAGAGCAAGTCGGACACAATGACTAACCATCATGCAACGCACGAGCAAGACGTTGATCGAAATTGTGCAGGTCTCGCTTGTCTCAAACAAGCCTGGGCTGCTTCTCAGGTCGATTAAATGAAATCCTTGCTTCCCTCACTTGCGTCGTTTCCCTGCGTTTAGTCCCTCCCACCAGGGAAGCATGGAGGGACGCAAGGAAACCACGAGAAGCAGGGAAATGAGTTTTAAGAGCAATGGGACGTCCTTTCCTCCGGAGCGTCACGTGAAGCGACGTCCGTTTGTGATGACGCTGCACAGCTGTTCGTCTGGCAGCAGCCAGCTCTGTACCTGTTATTTCCACAAACACCCCCGCCTCTGTTAGTGCACATTTACTGACATAAACATTAGTATCATCTGTTGTAGATCCAAATACATGAAATAAAATAAGAAGTCATTCTCAAAAAAGATAAACGCCATTCTTAAAATGTATAAATGAAAAAAGCGATCATGAAAATGTTTCCAATAAATGAATAAAAAAATGTTTGACCACTTTGTTGTTCAGATATATCACATATTTGTAACTAAATGATACATGAATTGCAACAAAACACAGTATAAACTGAGGAGTGAGTCCCGTGAGGTTCATGTATTTTCTTCACTCCGCTGGGGTATTGCTCTCATGTCAAGAAGCATCAGATCAGTGCATGCACTGCTTCGTCCAATCAGTGAGCGATACACAGTAAGGGGGCGGGGTGAGTATCTGAGGATTTCATCGGAGGATGGTCTGGTGGTTCCTCGGTTATCGCTCCTCCATGATCGCTCCTCGCTCCTCGATCCTCGGTCCTCCGGCAGAAATAAGAGCCATGGGACGGTACTCAAGATGGCGCAGGCAAATCAACTTCCGGTGAGACCGAGGACCGAGGAGCGAGGAAATGAAAATAGTCGACCTGAGAAGCAGCCCTAGTGTCTGTCCACACGAGACAGCTCTGTTTAGCTCCAACCGCTGGAGAAGCTGCAGTACATATGCAGGAGCCTGTACGTGGCGCTGTAACTTCCTCCACAAAAGCAGCGAAGAAGCATGGTTGTCATGGTTGCCCTTCTGTTTATTCTCCGCGGTGGGGGCCGAGGGAACCGGGCAGAGTTTTTCGCCAGTCAACGTGAATTAAAGTTTAAACCTTCCGACAAAATTATAAAAGTGCCGGTCAAAGGTCTTCTTTGTTATTTATTGAGCTTTAAAACAAATGAATAACGACTCTATATAATATAATAATAAAATACACGGAGCCTCTCTTTTTCCTCCCTCTCTTTGGACAGCGTCAGTGTCTGTCTCATGCAGCAGCTGATCCAGTAATGAGTGACCCGGCCGACAGTAAAAATAAACATATTTATAACTAGCTTAGGTAGTTTGAGAGGTAATTAAAATAGCTAAGGGTGATGATCTGACTTGAAGTGTGTGTTTTACTCCGTTCACCGCCGAATCACAGCGGGAGGAGCTGCAGGTGAGCAGAGCTGCGTGTCTCCGTCCTGTCAGATTAGACTTCACTCGCGTTTATGTCCATATCGAGAGAAAGATAAATAATCTGAATTCAGTGTGCAGTTTACTTTGACGCGGGAGTGAGCAGCAGAGGTGGGGAGAGGCGGGGCTATTGCCTCATCATTATCAGAAAATGATCGTATAGGGCGTACACACGGAGCCGTTGGACCCCCCAGAGCGTTGTGTATGCCGTTCTATCCACCTTGGGACCCGTTATCGTTTCCGCAGTCGTTTAGTGCCGTATTCGGTCGTCCTCGTGTGGCCGAACGGTCTATATGACACTAAACAGTAACGCAAACGACCGTTTTCGTCCTCGTGTGGCCGGGGCCTAACTGTAGGTTACTCTGAGTGACAAGCTTACAGTTAGACACAACACTGTCATTGCAAGTGACCCTCAGTTAGTTGACTTTTATGTTCAACTGCTAAATTCGTTACTGATAAAAAAGGGCTATACTGTACCTAATTACCTTAACACTAGAACCGCCTGAGGTTTTTTTAGGCCTACCTAAAACCGTCAAATCCCGCTATTAGAATGCAATTTTTAATAACATAGGGTGCTACATAACACACTTTCAGGAAAAGTCACGGACTGGGAGACTTTAATATTTTATTGAAAAAAGTTACATTGCACACACACAACACACATCACACAAATTGACCCGATTGGCGGTTCTAGTGTTAAATAAACTCACTAATGAATGAAACCAGTTCAATACGCATTATTCTTATTCTTATCATTCTTTATGAGCGCAGAAATAGTCTTAAAATCAGACCTGTTTTTTAAATGAAATCTGACGGCAGGCAGTTAGCTCTGATCACCTATGATAAATGCGCCACACCTAATCGCTGGCCATTCAGCCACAGAGCTCCCAAAATCAAACTGTAGACGGTGTGAAAGCACCTATTGTTTTAAATAATGGTCGGAATGTGACCTGTGAGCCTTCTGAATTACCGTGGGACATTCTAAACTAAAATGTTCAATCAATAAAGTAACATCTTATCTTAATAATATCTTCATATT